TCCTGTGTTGAGCGTCTTCCCCCTGGTGGTCAGTGCGTGTCATAGCGACCGGTCAACTGGTTGTTCTGTTGACCGGTCTAACAGTCGCTTAGGCTTTTATATATATAGATTGATTTCAGAGATGAAGGGAGAGGGAGAGAGACATAGAAACATCAATGATGAGAGAGAATCATTGATCAGTTGCCTCCTGCGTGTCCCACACTGGGGATCGAGCCTGCAACCTGGCTAGTGCCCTGACCAGGAATTGAACCATGACCTCCTGGTTCATAGGTCGATAATCAACCACTGAGCCACAATGGCTAGACTAAATTACCACTAAGTTTGTGGTAATTCGATTTGTTACACAGCAATAGAAAATTAATACAGAGACCTTAACAGTTTTCTCCATATTAATAGAGAAGGAAGAATGAAGCACTAAAGGAGTCTAAAATTCTAAAGTGATTTTGCCTTGCATGAAATGAAAACAAAGGCACAGCTCAATGGAGGACAAAGGCAAATTGTGTAGGTTTAACTGTACAAATTTAGACTGTTGAGCAAAGCCCCATAGAAGGAATCAGAGAGTGCTCCACGGTGGTGTTCTGTTTGTTTTTCTCTTAAGAGAAAGTTTAGTTAGTCACAGCGGTAGAAGAAGTAAGTGGTAGAAGAAATGGGCTCAGGAAACAAGTTACTGAGGCAAAAGAAGGGGCCCTTGGAGCTTAGGAGAGAAAAAGGTGAAGGTGTGATGCACCTGGAGAGAAGAAGGGGGGAGGGGAAAGACGCAGGCATGTCCCTGGAGTTAGAGCACCTCCACGGGGTTTTAGAACTAGGGGGTATGTTTCATTTCCTAGAGAACTGGATCACAAATACATCTCAGTTCATCCTGTAAGCATGCCACATTTGGAGTCTGACATGGCTTCAAACCCCAGCTCTGCCATTTACTAGCACCATGACTTTAGGCAAGTAATCTCTCTGAGCCTCGGTTTTATCAACTGTGTAATAGGCATGATGAGTTTGGTTGAGGTTTCAATGAGATGCTACCTGTAGCACTCAGCATAATCCCTGACACAAGCTCTCTAGAGATAATTTTCACATATATGCATAGAAGAGGGACAAAAATCAATGCATAGAATATTTATAGCCTCTTTCTGCCCCCTTAGCTACTCTAATATTCTGATATTAGCTTTCATCCCTACCTTCCCTTTTTTCCCTACCTACTAGTGTATTCATTAGGTACATAGAGTAATGAGTTGGGAAGACAGCTGCTGAAGTGGCATAGGAGATTCAAGTAAGAAAGGGTTGAGATAAGAAAAGAGGAAGAATAGAGGGGCAGGGAAAGGCTGAATGGTGAAGAAAGGGAAGGAGAAGCCCTGGCTGGTTTGGCTCAGTGAGTAGACCATTGGCCTGAGGACTGAAGGGTCCTGAGTTTAATTCCAGTCAAGGGCACATGCTTGGGTTGTGGGCTCAATCCCCAGTGGGGGGGCGTATAGGAGGCAGCCGATCAATGATTCTCTCTGATCATCATTGATGTTTCTATCTCTCTCACCCTCTCCTTTCCTCTCTGAAATCAATAAAAATATATTTTAAAAAAAGAATCAACCAATGAATGCATAAAGAAGTGGAACAACAAATCAATGTTTCCCTCTCTCCCTTCCTCTCTCTCTAAAAAAAAAAAAAGAAAAAAATTACTGTAGGTAATGAATTATATCCTCATTAAAGTTCTTTGAAAAATGTAGATAAGGATATGATTTATTTTAATTAAAGTTTTCTTGCTGAACTGTTTCTTTTAATGCTACACAGCTCCAAAGCTTGGCTTCCTGGGTCCTGGGATCTACTCAGGTTCCATTACCAGCACCCTGAAACTGTGGAGACACAAGAAGGACCACTTCCTTTGGGGAATGTTCTGGAAGCCTCACGTATGCTGGAAGCCAGTTAACCCTCAGGACAATGTCAGGGAAATTGACTGAAGCTCCTTCCAGAGGTGACTTCCTGGTTCCCAAGCTGGCCTGGAAACCCTTACAAGAGCTGCCACTCCAATGGCTCTCTTAGCTGACACATGCCTGATCTCTCATTGAATCCAATTATGGGAAAACGATAAAAAGAGCCCGTTTGGCTCCCAGGGACCTGGGAATTAGAACATCTGTGACCGCCTTACAATCCCTTGTCCACACGCCCAGACAGTTTGAGCATTTTTCAAGTCCACATTAGTGCCAACCACTTCTTACTCTTTTCCTGGGGAGTAATGAGCGAGCAGGCTGTGCAAACAGGACATAGCTGGCTGAGACGGCCATCCTTAGAAAAGTCTGCTGGTAAGTAGGCCCTTGGCTGGTGTCTGCGAACTTCAATTTCGGGAGTGCTCCCACCATTCCCAAAATTTATAAGCGTGACTGCCCATGCCTAAACTTTTTGTACAAACAATGGGGTTCATGCTGACCATGTTTCCTTCTGAGAGCCTGGAATTTTGATGTGTGTTAGGCAGACGATGCCTACGTGACTGGCCCCCAATAAAAAAAACCTGAGTCTCTAATGAGCACTGGGTCTTTAATGAGCTTCCCTGGTCAACAATATTTTACTTGTGTTGTCACAACTTGTTGCTGGAGGAAGTAAGTGCATCCTGTGTGATGCCACTAGGAGAGAACTTCTGGAAGCGTGGGTCTACTTTTCTCTGAACACCACCCCATGTGCCTTTTCCCTTTGCTGATTTCACTTTGTATTCTCTGGCAATAATAAATCATAGCCATGAGGACAGCTATATGCTGAATCGTGCGAGTCCCTCAACAAGTCATTGAATCTGGGGCTGGTTTTGGGGACCTCCTACACAAGGCTATCTCTGTCTATAAAAATAGCATAAAGGCTTTTTTCTTCATTCAGATCTTCATTGGGAGAGGTACAGAGGACAGGAAAATAGTTCCATTTGATCACTGAGAAAACAAGCACAGAGAAGAAAGGCAACATAGTGAGGTTTCATAGCTAAGATGGCAGAGCTGGGACTAGAATTCGGGTTTGTCTGTTTCCACATCCTTCCGTTAGTGACAGTTCAGCAATCTTATTGCTAAAGGTTGGGAATACCTCCCTTCCTTCTCTCTACCCCTTTTCCTTCCCCTTAACTCTGGGGAACCTGTCTGGCAGGTCTGACAGCACCTAGTGGTGAAATGGGAAGAAGGGTGGCATCAATTCCACTCACCCTCCCTCCTACCCGTGGATAACCTCTCTACCCTTGGCTCTGTGTCCCACTCCATCCAAGCTTGGCCACTGCCTTCCTTAGCCTTCCCTTCCTGCACCCACCAACTTCTAACAACTTTGTTTTAGAATCTATTGACCACTGTCTTTATCCTCATTTATTTTCTGAGTGCCTCCTATGTGCCAGAGACAAGGGTGGCACCTACAGGCCTTGGCCACAGGGAGCTGCTCCCTAACACATTCATTGAGGAAATACTTAGCGTCAGGGACTGCTGACGACACAGCATGAACAGCCCCACCGGGGGCAGGGAGAGGCAGTTCACCTAGCACACTTTCATCCTGCTCCACCTCGTTCTCTCTTTCCTCCAGTATGGATCTCTAGGTCTGAAATCCCAGAAGCAAGATCTCTTGTCATGCCTTCCCTCCCCCTTTCTGTGTTCCCACCTGATTGTCAGGCAGTCACAGGCAAGAACTCTGCTATGGTTATATCTGTATCCATCTCCCCACCCTTGAGCCCATATCACAGCCTGTTGTGCAAATGCTTCACTCTGAGCAAGAGAGATCGAGTTTTACTGATTCTACAGTCTTGCTAAGTTAATGGGAAATGATTCTCCCAGCCAAAATGATACCACATATTTTGGGCTAAATGTCTGTAAGATTCAGCAAATTACCTTGGTGAACGGGGAAATATCAGAGATTTGGGGTACATAAATTTAACATATTTTCTCTTTAAAAAAGTGTTTTTAATGATTTTTAGAGAGGGAGGAAGGAAGAGGGATAGAGAGATAGAAACATGGGTAAGAGAGAACCCCCCCCAAAAAAATAAAGAGAGGACCATCAATCGGCTGTCTCCTGCACACACTCCCCCCGCCCCCAATCAATCGAATCTGAGGTAATGGAACCGATGACCTCTTGGTTCATTGGGTCAATGCTCAACCACTGAGCCACACCAGCCCAACCATATTTTCTCATTTCTTTCTGTTTACCATGTTTCATCAAATCCAGAAATGCCATCAATGATTGAACATGTCATTTTGTGTACCATTAAGAAAAAAAGAACACTCCCAATTGTAATTGTAGGATGCATCCCAGTTTCAGAGATTTTAAAATTTGAACTATTGGAAGCAATCCATACAGTATTTTTTAAAATTATGAAATAAAGCTGATGGGAAGCACGCGGCCTGGAGGACTAGCTGCTGGTGACCAGGAGACCGCGGGAGCGGGTAGTCCTCCAGGCCTCGTGTCCGCGCCATTCCCTTGAACCACAGTGGGCAGGAGTAGGTGACTTGATGGGTGGGAGCCCTGCTGCTCTCCTCCAGCTGTGCCAGGAGGAAGTCACAGCCCTGCCCAGGGAGTGGCTGCCCTTGGAGGTGAAGGGAGGAAGCTCCCACGAGGAGCTGCGTGTGTATTTGTAAGCGTAGTCCTCCCCTGAAAACAGCTCTCCCTCAGGTCCAGGAATGGCTTCCCTGACTAGCAGCCTCAGTACATGGGACGCTTCCCAGCGTGGGACCACCAGCGAAGACGAGGCCATGGACAAAACCATCCGCAACCTGAGGAAGTCTGGTCTCCGACTAACCGGGTCCTGCCTGGGAGGGGTGCTGTTACAATCTCCCCTCTCCCACCTCATCTTCCTTCTCAGCCTTGGTTCCTGATGGGAACAGAATGGAGGGCCTCAGAATATACTTTATAACGCCTCTGCCCCAGAAAAAGAAATTATGAAATAAAAATAAAAGGAGGAGAAAGAACTGCTGAAGTCTTACCCACCTAGAGAAAACCATTTTATTAGCATCTGTAGAATGTTATTATCTTCAATATTTTCAATGACATTTTTTACAGTTATGGACCTTACATATAGTACATTTATTATGCATAATGTATTAAATATATACACTTATACATGTTTGTAGATATAGACATTTATATTATACATTTCTCAATATATAGGCATTTTATTTATATAGTTCATAATGTTTGGGGTACTATATAGATGTTGATGCTAACAAAGCTGACCCCGTCTTTGTGTGTCCTCTAATTTCCCCCTAGTTTCCATGCTGAGTCTCAGCCAGCACCAAAGCCTCATAGTTAATGATTAGCTGTATCCTGTAACCAAGATTCCTGTCAGTAAACGGCCAGAATGGCATAGCAACCGAGATAAATATCAAACAAGGTACTGGCATCGATTGTAAGCAATTATCCATCATAAGACCACCAGGAGGTATGGTTCCTGACTCAAGCTACATTCTTTGTCCCTTCGCCTTGTCAATCATTAGTAGTTCAGCTGTACTAGAAAACATCTACTGTAACAACTGTAGAGCAGGGGAGAGTAATCTGTGTAGACTACTGAGTCGTCTTTTCTATCCCGACTCAATCTTCCCTGTAAGTAAATTACCTTACAATAAATTCTGTTATATTCAATGAATTTGCCTGCTTTGTTTTTTGGTCTTAAGATACCTTTACAGTATGGTGGTCACTGTACCTTCACTCCACCTTTACACAGGTGCACAGCCCCAAACCTTCCTTCACATTGTCCCCCCACACCCTTCCTCTGAGTTAACCATTGTCAGCAGCTGGTTGTGCATGTCTCCAATCATGTATATATATACATACATATCAGAGGGAAGGCGTGGGAGGGCCAGTGGGTGGGAAGAGATCAACCAAAGAACTTGTATGCATATATGCATAACCCATGGACACAGAAAATAGGGTGGGGAAAGCGTGGGGCAGGGATGGGCATGGGCTAGAAAAGGTCACTGGGGGAAAAAGGGAACATATGTAATACTTTCAACAATGAAGATTTTTTAAAAAATAAAATAAAAAATTAAATACATATTGGTTTGGAGTTTTACATACATATGGGATCATAGTGAGTTAGTACAAATGTGTCTGCCTCACTCTCTCAATGACTGTAATATGGAATATGCCATCAAATTTTTCTTTATTAATAGAGATTTAGGTGATTTTCACTTTCGCTATTACTGGCAGCTCTGCATGAAGATCCTTGCACCTGCGTATTTGTGTGCATGTGTAAGTGTTTCACCAAAAGCAGGTATTTGAGGTGCAGGCCGATGCAGGCTGGTATATTGTTGAGATTGTTAAAGCAAACCCACGATAGGATCTATTTATCTGTAGAACCTCGCTGAAAATTACGAAGGCCAACAAAACCTGAGTGCAAGTGTCTTCTTGGCTTCCAAACTGATTCTGAATCTGTGTCTCACTCCTCAGCCCCCATTACATGCATGTTTTCTGTGAGAACAAGAAATATCAACAACTACTTACTACAGTAGTAAGCACAGAGAATCCAAAGGTGCATAGTTCAGGATGCTGCCCTCCAGGAGTTTAGTCCAATGGGAGAAACAGAAGAGCTATATACACACCTACATATACTCCATTCCTAGCTCTGCAGCCAAATGCTATTAGATTCTGGAAGAGAGAAAGATTAGTTTTGCCTGTGTTTAGGGAAGAAATGGTATTTGAGCGTTCATGATGTAGAATTTCCCAAGGTCAAGAGCAGGTGGAACAAGGAGACTTGTTCAAAATGTAGCAGAACTGATGGTAAAGTGAAAAACAGGAAACAATGTCCATTAACAGACAATGAAACTAATCATATTTTCATAATAGCTTAAATTATTGAACCAGAGCTCTATTAACTTAGGTATATCTGTAAAAACAAAAATTGGGGGGACCAGCATTGTACAAGCAATTACAAACAATGTGCTGCAGAACAGGAGGCTGTGTAGCACCATGATCTGGTGTGTGGCTAGGGACCCACTGCTGGGGTCCCATCCTGGCACCACCACTTGCAAGCTGTGTGATCCTGGGTAAATGGTGCCACCTTTCAGTGTCCTCACCTGCAAACTGGGGGTCATCATAGGATTTATATGTAGGGGTATAGTGAGGATTTAAGGAAGTAATACAAGTAAAACACTTAGAATAGTGCCTGCCACTCAATAAATGTTAGCTATTTGTTGCATTGTGTAAAATTTTTAAAGTATAGTAGTTCGTTGAGTGAAACACACATATATCAAAGGTTGAAAACATTTAGTAAAATGATAAACACCAAATTCGGTTCCTTGCGTGGGGTAGGGAGGGGAAGGAGATGAGGGAAGAAAAGGGAAGCCCTAGCTGGTTTGACTCAGTGTTCGGCCTGAGCACTGGAGGGTCCCGGGTTCAATTCTGCAGGCTTGCTCCTCAGTCTGGGGCACAGGAGAGGCAACCAACCAATGATTCTCTCTCATTGATGTTTCTCTCTCTCCCTCTCCTTTCCTCTCCGAAATCAATAAAAATATATTTAAAAAACAATAAAAGGGAAATGCTTAAACTACACTTATAATAACTATGAAGTTGAGCAGTAACTACATGCTTTTCTTAGTATTCCTGCAGACACCAAGGACCCTCCCTAATTCGTTTTGTGTGATTTGGGGATGGAGGTGCAGAGGATTCAGAAGGAAGGATCCTTGGGCCACCCAAACTGTCTGGCTCCTTCCCATCATTCAGATTTCGGTTCAAATAGTCCTTCTTCAGAGAAGCCTTCCTTGACGCCATTTTAAAGCAGTACACCTCTATCCACTCTAACACCCTGAACTATTATCTTATTGCAATGGGTTTATGACTCTGGGCTGTTTTAGTAGTACTTTACTGGTAATTGTCCATTTCTCCCCACTGGAATGCTCTGTCTTGTCAACACTATATTTCCAAAGCCATTTTAAGTTCTCAATTATTTTTTTGTTTTGGGATGAATGAATGGAGACCCTTCCTCCATCCTCAGGACTCCTCTTAAAAAAAATTTTTTTTAATTGATTTCAGAGAGGAAGGGAGATAGAAACATCAATGATGAGAATCATTACTAGGCTGCCTCCTGCACGCCCCCTACTGGGAATTGAGCCAGTAACCCAGGCAAGTGCCCTTGACTGGAATGGAACCTGTGGCCCTTCAGTCCGCAGGCCGACGCTCTATCCACTGAGCAAACCAGCCAGGGCGGGCCTCCTCCTTTTAGCGGAGTGCAGAGGTAGAATGAGGAAAGCCCGAGGGAAGTGGGTTGAGGAGAAGGCGGGTGAAAATCTGCATTAGATAAACGGTGGGAAGCTGCGGAGCCTGAGCGAGGCTTAAGTGTGAAGAACCGAGGGCTGAAGGTGAATGGAGGGGCCGGGAGGAAGTCCGGACGAGTGGGGCGGGGTCTGGGGGAGGGGCGGAGCCTCAACCAGCGGGTGGGGCCAATGGGTAGGCGGGCCCTGGAGGAGGGGGCGGAGCCTGCGAGCGGGGCGTTGGGAGCAGCGCGCTGCGGCGGCGGAAGATGGCTGCGGACGGGGCGGCGGACACTCAGCTGATGCTCGGAGTCGGGCTGATTGGTGAGCACGCAGGCGCCCTGGCCCCAGGCCCGCATCCCAGTTCCGCCTCTGCCTGGGCCTGGGGTGGCTCCTCCTCCCGCCCTCCTCGTGGGGAGGGCGCGACCCCCTCCACGTTGGGCCTGGGCAGGGGGCGGCGCGGCCCGGCCTCCTCGGCGCTGGGGTTGACCCGCGGCCGTGGGCCCTTCCGCCCTTGGTGCCCTCCCGGTTCGGGCGGCGGGGCGGAGCGACCTTCGGGCCTCCTAGGTCCAGGGAGGGGAGCTGTTGGACGTTCCGGGCCGCAGACGAGCCCGGCCGTGGAAGGTGACCGAGCTGCGGGACCCCGGCTGGACCGAGAGCCGCTCTCAGGCGGGGAGGCGGCTGGGCCGGGGTCCCTCGGGATGGGGGGCGACGCCTGGCGTGACTGCCCGCCCGGCGCCCGGCTGGCCTGGATCATGTGATCCAGCGATTGGAGACGCGGTGGCCGACTACCAGCTCCGGGTTCAGCGTTGTATGCCTGGATTATCTCCGTTTCACTCACTTCGGCTCCCGGGGGCTGTGGGTAACGTTTGATGCACACTTTCCGGGGCAGTAGCTCGAGGCCAGGGTGTCCACCGACGCACGTTAGAAAGTGGCGGAACCAGGGTTAAGACACCTGCAGTCTTGTCCCAGAGCCCCAACTTGAGCCCGTGGGGGACCCCGGCATCGTCTGAGACACAGCTGGTGCACGCAGCACGGGTGTCGACTTAATCACGGGTGGGACCCGTTGGTGTTGGGGAATTAATGGATGAGGAAGTACGTTGGGATCTTCGAGCAGCCCGGGATGTGTGCCGGGCGGGGTTGGGGGGGGGGCGTGCCGTGTGCCAGGGTTGGGCGTTTCAAGGAACCATTCATTTGATAGGCGATGGCGAGCACGGGGTTGCTGGCATGAACGTCGGTCGGTTCCCTGCGTGCCATGTCCTTTGAAAAAGTATTCTATTGAGATTTTTACAAACCCCTTGAGCGGTTCTCAACCTGTGGGTCGAGACCCCTTTGAGGGGTCGATCGATCCTTTCACAGGGGTCGCCTAAGACCATCGGAAAACACATATATAATTACATATTGTTTTTGTAATGAATCACTATGCTTTAATTATGTCCAATTTGTAACAATGAAAATACATCCTGCATATCAGATATTTACATGACGATTCATAACAGTAGCAAAATTACAGTTATGAAGTAGCAACGAAAATAATTTTATGGTCGGGGGGTCACCACAACATGAGGAACTGTATTAAAGGGTCGCGGCATTAGGAGGGTTGAGAACCACTGCCCTAGACGCTGTTTCCCTGGTGTATACAAGAACGTTGCTTGGGTTGAGAAAAACGGGCGAAATGTGCTGATTACTTTTCAGTGCCTCAAAGAGGTGCATTTATCTGGAAATGGCTTCCTGTATTCATGCCTTTTTTAAAAAATTAAATCATTTTTATTTTTTTAATTAATTGCAGTTGACATACAATATTGTATTAGTTTAAGTGTACACCCCAGTGATTAGACATTATGTAACTGACTAAGCGATCATCCCGATGCATCGCATACCCATCTGAACATTTCTTAAATGTGGTTTTAAAACTGTTTCAAAGCAAAACCTAAGTAACTTCGTCATCTTAGTCCTGCCCGAAGTCCTTCTGAATTAAGGCTGAGTTAAACTCTGACTTTATTTGCTAACAGTGAAGGAAAAGATGGCTTAATCATTTTCAATTCAGCAGGCTTTTTATTTTTCGTGTTGACTTGAAGAATAAAGGGACTTGCTTCAAAATAATGGAAAGGGAAACGCTTCTCCCCCTTGTGAGACAAGGAGGGCCAGATGTTGGTAATTGTTGAAGCCGAGTGATGAGTGATGGAGATGGGGGAATGTTATTATTCTCTCTGCTTTTTTATATACTTGATATTTTCCATAATGAGTTTTTTTAAAATATATCTTTATTGATTTCAGAGAGGAAGAGAGAGAGAGAGAGAAACATGATGAGAGAATCATTGATCGGCTGCCTCCTGCACGCCCCCCACTGGGGATCGAGCCCGCAATCGGGCATGTGCCCTTGGCCAGAATCGAACCT